ATGTAATTAGAATATGATGGCTTGAATTGTCTGACAGAGATTAGAAATTCCATTCTAATTGCTTGGGTTACTGAAGCCTCTGGCCTTGGTTGCATTGTACAAATAGAGGTTAACACTTCATCCACTCAAAAGGATGGATGCAGCTAACAGATGTGGTAATTAATAGCCCCTGGTACATTGATGGGGACTTTAGCCCTGTGTTTTGCTTGCAAGGATCTCTGACCTACTATGTGAGTGGAAGAATGTTAGGGTCAGGGCTCAATGGACCTTCAAGGAGCTCAGCTGCAGAACACGGAGAGAAGGCTCAGAGGAAATAGGAGGCAGCAGCTGGCCACATCTGTGTCTTTCCTCATACTTGTTCTGTTTTCCTGGCTCCTTCTGAAAGTCTCTTAATTTCTGCTTCTTCCAAACTTTTCTTCATGCCCTTTAACTCAAGAGCTTGCCATCATCTGACTGGCTCTGTTTTCAGGGTCTCTGTTCCAGATGCCTGATAGGCCTGTAGATTAGTGTATTGAATGCATTTTAGATTTGGTGATATTTCCAATGTATGATGGGTTCATTGGGATGTCACCCAATCTTTAAGTCAAAGAGCTCCTCTATTTCAAAACATGATTCAAGTCAATAAAAAGCAAAATGGTTCCCATTCTTCCTCCTTTATGCTATACCTTCTTCATCTTACCAACTTGTCAGACCTCTTATCCCTTCGTACAGGCTTAAAAGCCCCTTTTCTCCACGTGCTTTAGTGTTGTCCTAAATAAAGGTTAGTTACAAAATGGTGGAGACAGGGCATTACTGCCACTACTATTTTGAACCAGGAATCCCAGCTACTCAGAGGTGGAGGCAGGAGGATCATGGTTAGAAGCTGGCCCCAGGCAAAAAGCACACGATCCTATCTAAAAAAGAACTGAAGCAATAATGGGCTAGGGACATAGCTTAAGTGGTAGAGCATCAGCAACTCAAGTTGTTGAAGTCTAACCCCTGTACCAACCCCTGTACCAAAAGCTAGCCAAAAGCAGAGAGCTATTATTCCTTGAGGCTATCTGAAAGTGTTGCCTTTCTTTCCCTCTGCTCTATTTCTGGATAGGAACCTGTTGATTGACTTTTTTTCTGCCTTAACCCACAGGCCATTAATTGGTCCCTTAGAAATCCATGTAGCCAGACTATTTCACTTGGGAGACACAGTCTCCAAAAGATCATATTAAAGCACCTAGTGATGTAGGAAACATTTTTTAAAAATACAGCTTATTTTATAATATTATTTGCTTTAAGTAGAACTGTTTCTTTTCTAGAAAAAAAATCATTACAGGCAAGAATTGAGAGCTTCTGTTTTGTTTAGTGGGATTACATGGGAGATAAATCTAGGATAAATAGAGGCAGATATATTTTTTTCCCAACACAGATATTATGAAATCTGAACCTATATAATTTCAAGACCTCCCTTTAAAAAGAATGTAAAAATTATGAATAGAAATTTAGCTGCAAAAGTAAGTCCTTATTTTTTTTTAGAATGGAGGAAATAAATTAAAGCTGATGGCTAACATAAACACTAGAGCCTCAAAGACAAAGGTTTTATTCTTAGCATTCATTAACTGACTTGCTTTGTTTCCTTCCCTCTTTGACTGCAGTTGGTTTCCTGTTCATGATACAATTATTTCACATCATCTTCTATAAGGAGAAAAGGATATTCATATAATATAACCAGTTAGAGATGGATTTTGTCATGTGCTCTTTTCATTGGATGCTTAGACAAATTTTTTTGTACCAATCCAAAACATTCTTGTGGAGGTGTGCCTTTTTCCTGGAAAGAACTTCAGCCTAATGTTCCTCTACCTGCCCACCTTTAGGGCCAAATGGTGCCCACAAGGAATGTGCATAAACTGTCTTTGGAGACTTTCTGGAAGGTTATATTAAGGTTTGAATGCTGTAAACTTTACCAGAGAGTAGGTGGTACTGGGCCTAGGTAGCCCAAAGCCCCATCTGTAGACATTTAGTGTGAACCCCCAATTTGAGATAGCCCAAGCTAGATAGGGCTGGGAGGGGCCTCTTTCTCCCTATCCTGAAGAAAGCTTCAAATGCAAATTCTTGGTTTACACCAAAAACTTTTCAAGTGCGTTATATTCTTAGAGAGCTTTCGTGCCTTTCAAAATTCTGAGAGACCTCAAGGAGCTTTTGTTTATCTATTTCTGTATAGAGTTATGGAAATTAAGACTGAAAAATAAAAATAGTTGTCAATTCATGTAAAGTAATCATAATAAACCTATTATGGGTTAGCACATATAACATCTTTTAATACTACATCACTATAATACCCCAAAAATATCAAGAAGAGGGCCATTGTTTTAGAACAAATTTCTTTAATGTCTGACTTAATAGAAAAATAACTCCATCTTCTCTTTTGCATTCTGTTGTGACATGTGGTTTTTGGTTGAAATATATCAAGAAAATGTAGAAGGCAGAACTTTAATACTCTCCAAACTGTGGCTGTTTTCTTTAAGGCTCTCCAAAACTTGGCAAGCGTAGTTTCTCTGAGGTCAATAATAGTGTTGAACCTGAAACCATTCCAGTGACCTTCTTCATACTGTGTTATGAAGTTATAGTGAAGTAACTATTATAATGAAATGCCTTCATCTGCATTACACTTGAGTGAAATCTTTTGCCATCATTCTGTATCATTACCCTCATCAGTCATCGGGAAACCAATAGCTCCCTAAATGGTAAAGTTCTTCATATTGCTGATGTGTTTCATTCTCTAATATGAGAATCACATTTGTCAACATCCATCTCCAACAGTCTCACCAGAGAGGCCTTCAAGAATGGGATGCTTCTCAGCTCACAACAGCAGGTGCAAGTTTTTCCAAATCTCTCATTTTTATTTGAAAGCTTGAGTTTGATCATTGGTAACACATTCTGCTACTTGTTTTCATTACAATGACAGGCTAACTTTGTTCTTTTAGTTTTTTTGAAGGCAATCTCTGCCAAATATTCTAGTCTGAGTAATCAGAGCTCATCTGTCAGTGGCTTGTTCAAGTAAAAATGATGTTCCAGGAAAAAAAAAGAAAAAGTGGCTAATTCAGCTCTTAAGTCAGTGGTGTAAGTGCTCTTTCTGGAAGTGGCCACCCATGCTTGTGTGTTGCACACGTGCTTTCTGCGCCCATGCACTTCCTATTTCATCACACAGATTGGTCAAAAGACGGGTGCTTAAGGGCCACATGTAATAGACTTGATCATGTTCACTGCCTCCAAAAGAACAATCTGTAGTGAAACTGGCATTTCTTGACTGCAATATGTGTTGGCCAAGAAAGTAAAGAATGTAACGAAGAACATAATAACTTGGTGCCATTGCCTTGATCAATGGTAGGCACCACCAACCAATGCTTTTACACCATTAGTTCAAATGACAACTTACAAAATGTTATTTGGTTGTCTTTTTTTTAATTATCTAAGTCATTTTTACCTGATGGCAAAATGCATATGTTCCTTAAAACATATTAGGAACCCCTAAGGGTTCCATGGATCATACTTTGAGAACTTCTGCTTTTGGTGTCAGATACTTTAATTTTCTTTTTCTTTCAGTGAATCAGAGATGAGGAAGGACACATCATTGGTGGCTGAGAGAGCAGGTCACAATCTCCACGATGCTTATAACAACAACGGAGTAATGGAGGCAGAGTGAAATTTGTTCCAAATCACCCAGATAGATGGTAGCAGGCCCAGGGTGATACTCAGGTCTCTTCTTGATTCATACACAGTGATTGTGTGAGACACTGTCCTGAGAAGTCTCTCATCAAAATCTCTTTTCTTTTCAAGTATTGATTAGACTCCTATTGTATTCCAGCAACAATGCTAAGTGTTAGGGATATGAACTAAAATGACAATTTCTTCATCTTTAATGAATTAGAATGACAATTTCCTCATCTTGCTTTTCCAGCCCCTGGTCTCTTGAAAATGTTTTCCAGTAGTCATATTACTCTCCTTTTCTTCTCTTAGCAGATGTTTTTCATTTTACTAGACAATATCAACCAGCATTAAGAAAATCATTGGTGTATACATTGCTTCACTAAACCAGTTTGAATGATTATCTGTGCAAATGTACACTGACTCTGAGGAAATGTTATATGCACCGTCATATAGTTCAATAAGATCAATAAGCATGGTGGAAAACCCTTATGAAATCCCAACCATGTGGCTATGCTTGGCATTCTAGCAACATGTAACACATATACAAACCTAAATCAGTTTTTGATACTAAAGTTCAGCCTGCAGGAAAGAAGCAAGGATGAATGGGGAATCCTATCAGAGGGTTGGAAAGAGCCATAGGGCATCTTACATTCCCCAAGGGATCTGGATGTTACAGCATCCTTCCTTAGACAGGACAGATCATAGCCATGTGTCAAGTTTAAATGGGGTTCCTGCCCGTTCTGTCCCTAGTTTGATCATAAGTTCCATGGGGAGTGAGTACAGAGGTAACCTGACCATGGGGAAGAGCAATTGACTTAAGAAAATAATGGTAATAGATTGAAACATGTCCAATTTGCTCTAGGCTTCAGATAAGTCACCTCAGAGTAGTTGTATCTAATAATGCTTAGAAGCCATTGCACCAAAATGCAGAATTTTACAAGTGGTGAGAAATTCATTGAGCTAGCCCCTTAAGCCTCAGCTGCAGGCACAAGATCCCCCAGGCTGTTTGAGAAGCCCCAAATAGGTATGTGAAGCTTTTGCCTAAGGATTCAAAGCTGAAGAAAAGTCATAATGAACTTCAAGAGCCCAACTTCAAGGAGGTAAGTTTAATAATCTCAATGTAAGTTGGGGAATGTACAACCTATTCAAAGTTCTTGGCCCAAACTAGGTCCAGGGAAAGATCTTTGTAGGAAGTGACACCTAAACACATTCATTAAGATTATGAGTCAATTATTACACTATACTTTGCTGGGTCTGTGGATATACCTCCAGGACTAAGCTCCAATTTCTGGGTGTTCATTTCACCTTGTTTCATTTTCCAGAGCTTCTGCAGAAGTACAAGATACCTTCATGACCTATACAGTGTATGATGACATCATCACCATGAAACTCATTCAAGAGGCTTGCAAGGTTCTGGGTAAGGCTCAAAGGGTTACTTTTGGCTACTTAAGGCTTCTATGGCAAAATACAATAGACTCTGATTATTTACAGCAAGCATCCTATGCCGTTTCTGGGAATACTGAATTATTGCTCCTAGAGAAAGGATCTAGGTTCCTGAGAGTGCCTGGCCACAGTGTTCTTGTCAATTGATCAAGGTATAATCTTGTTTGTTTCTGTTGGCTTTAACCCATAAATCTGGAACTAACAGAATGGAGAACAAACTTTCCCCTTGTTTTTCACATGATGATTTGCCTGACATTTGTGTCTCTGCTCATGCTCTCGGTGTCCTGCAGAAGACTTTCCAGGGTTCTGTATCTGGGAAGGTCAAAAGATTCTACCAAGTCCAAAGGAGGAAGTTTGGGAAACTGAGTGTGTGTGAGACACTTGGAGTCCTCTCCAGTAAAGAGGAGTTTACCTGCTCCCTGTTTGCCACCTGCTGTGCTGTCTCATGAGGCTGCTCTTGTCTGTCCTGGACCACAGAGCCACACAGCAACTTAGAGATGCCAATGAGTCCTGGCAGGATGTTGGGATGGTAGTTGAGAGGAATCCAGGAATTGATGCTTGTGAAAATAACTTCCCATCAGACCTTGCTCACCTGCCACCTGTACTTCCTGTTAGCACCAGATAAACTTGGGCTTGAGGCTGGAATATGGCTTAGGATTGAAATTTGTCATTGCTCATTTCCTGGACCTCAGACTCCAAGAGCAATAATACTTCCTGGGCCTCCCCAAACAAGTCCCACACACCATGCTGGATTCAAGTGGGCTCCCAACCATCACAGCTGGGCATTTCTTCCTCTACCTCTACCCCCTCTTTCAGAGTAGCTTCCCTAGAGACATTCTAGGTGAAAATGAGTCTGGAAACCACAGGATTTCTATGGCACCTTATTCTTTCCTTGTCTAGCCTGTTTTTTGAGGGGCGATTGGAAGAAGGTGTTTCCAGACTCTTCGGCCTCCCCAACAGCCAACAGAAGGGTAGTGGGTGTCAGTTATTGAGCCACAGATGGCAGCAGGCTTCCAAGGTGGAGTCATAAGTCCAGGTTGGGTGTTAGCTTCACAGTACTGTACTGCTCCTGCTGGGCTCGGAGAGCCTGGGGACCTGGATTCTGGCTTTTGCACACGGCAGCTGAGCTGTGCCTCTCAGCTCCCTTGTTTAATGCATTTGCTAGAGAACGTGTCTGTTTTCATTTTCTTAACATCTGTTTTCCTTAAAAATTTAAAATACATAATTATGTTAAATATGCCTCACCAAATCCCCAAGACAGTCCCCTTCTTGATTCTAATATGTACCACCACCCCAATTAGACAAGGCCCAGGTGCCATTCCTCTAAGGACAACTGTGCAAGTGATTCTAAGTAGGGGCTGGTGGCCTACAAGCTATTTGATTGTTTTCAATAACACTTTTTATTTTGGTTAAGTAGGAGGAGCAGCTAGATATTTTCTCTCCACAGAAAGACTACAAGGTGTTAGGTGAGATTTCCATATGAAGGTAATTACTTCCTATATTAAAAGCTGGACTTTTTCATTTGTTTATTTATTTAGGTCTGAGACTGAGACTCAATCTCAGTACTTGACTTTTTGCTCATTGGCTGATGCTCTACCAACTGAGTTACACCTCCAATCCAAAAGCTGGAGTTTTGACAGAGCTTAGAAGATAAAAGAGAAATAAAAAGTTGAGAATCAATGGTTAAATGAAGTCCATCTGGTTTTATTTCAGGAAGTCCCAGTGGCCAGAGGGTGTGGAGACTGCATCATGACTTGGTTCATAGCTCTTTCCAAAGAAATGCATCTTCTTGTTATTCTAGAATAAACAGAAGGGCTCATTCTGCTCTGTCCTACCAGCCATGACTTTGACTAGAATATCATTGAACATTGATCTCCTTGAAAAAGAATACCTCACAGATTTGTGGGAGGGAATAAATTAGATAACAAATGCAAGGCATCTAGTACTGTGCAGACATGATCAGCAAAAGTGAGCTGAATGGTGAACCTGAACTAAGGCAGGACATGGTTCTACGTTTTGTAGCTCTGAATGCTGCCCCTTAAAAATAGAGGTGGACTTTGCTGTTCTTTTCAAATGATTACGAATAAAAACCATGATCTGGACTCTTTGATCAGTGGTCAAGGAACTACTGACAGCCTACGGGCCAAACCTAGGCTCCTGTTTTTTTTATAAAGTTTTATTAGAACACAGCCATGTCCATTTGTTTACCTGTTTGTAGTATAATGGTTGCTTTGGGTTATCACAATCAAGACCATATGAGGTACAAAGCTAAAAATAGTCATTAGCTAGCTTTTATATGTAAAGGTTATGATCTTATAGAGAATGAATAATGAACAAAACAGAGTTCAAGATTTGAAAAAAAATCCCTTTGTTTGAAATTTGTTTTTACTTAAGGACTGTTACAGATTGAATTATATCCCTGCAACGTTCAGATGTTCAGGCCTTAATTTCCAGAGATAGTATTTAAAGAGAAGCCTTTGGAAGATGCATAGGCAAGTGAGGTCACAAAGGGGCAGTGCCCAGGACATGATTAATATCCTTGGAGAAAAGTCACTGGAGGGCTTGCCCTGTGTGTTTTTTTGTTTTTCCTTTCATGTTAGGACATAGCATGAAAGCATTTCCTTATAATCCAGGAAGAAAGCCCCCACCAGAAACTAACCAGGTCAGCAGCTTGATCCTGGACTTTCAGACTTCAGAACGGTGAGAAAATGAGTTTCCTTTGTTGAAGTCGCTGGTTTATAATTGTCTGTTTTGGGAGCGTTAGTAGACAACAATAAGAACCTTAGTAAGTTTCCAGCCCTTCAGAAATAAATACTCTGTACATCTGATATCACTCCAGCCTGCTTTTATATTTCTGGGCTTGTAAATGCCACTTGGTGTGGCAGCACATTTAGCAGAGAGATGCTATCCCACACCTGCCCAAGGTTTCTAACCCAGTCAACACTTTAGAGACAGCAACAAGTTTAATAGATGGATGTGTGCATCACCTTCTTACCCAGAGCCAAAGCAGATCACTGTGGCGTCACTCTGCTTTGCATTATATATCACAAATGTTCTATCTCCTAGTTATGTACCTCAGTGACATCTGTTGGCCTATATATAAGAGGGCAAGAAAGCAGGGCAAGTATATTTTTCAAATTAAAAAAAAATCAGAAAGGGGTGATACTTATCAAGATTCACTGTATTCACATACTTTGTTCAATGATAACTCTTTTGTACAACTACTTAAAGATAAAAATAAATTTTTAAAAAAAAGAAAAATCAGAATTCAGAATCTAGTAAACACACACAAGAGATTTGCTCTCAGGATGACCCTGGACCATTTTATTTTTTGATATATGCAATTTCACCAATCCAAGACAGGGAGGCTCAGCCAAGGGAAAGCTATAGGAAGGGCATTTTACTCTTCAATAAAATATACTGATCAGTTGAGATCAGCTTCTCCCTTTCTGTGAAAGAGAAAAGGATTTGTTAGTCACCACCAGCCAGGACTCTGTCGTCTGAGTTGTAGGCTCCAGGATGCATTTTTCCTTACCTTGAAGCAATTGTTGGGATTTTTTTCCAGATCCCTCTGCCACTGCATAGCTCTGTGCTTGCTCATTATCATAATTCAGGATGGGACCAGATGGCAGGTTGACTATTGCATAAGGAATTGTTCTGTACATGAATAAGTGCCTACTTAGTGTGTAAGTGGGTTATTAGTGATCTGAAGTGACAAAATTCAAAACAACACCCAACAGCCATTTAGCACAGCTGTTTCTGTCTAGACGTCCTCTGCTAAGAAAACCAGAGTAAAAATGCGTTTCAACAGTTAGCCCTCAGCAAATGCCAACAGCTCTTCTCCTGACTTCTTTCAGAAAGAGAGAGAGAGAGAAAGAAAGAAAGACAGAAAGAAAGGGAGAGAAAGAAAGAAAGAAAGAGAAAAAGAAAGCAGCTATTGCAAATTTACAGTTTAAAATGTATAATACTTTTCCCTCTACTCATCTGAGATTGGAACAAGTAGTAGCCCAGGCTGTGTAACCGACTGAAAATGGAGATTTGAGCTTGGGTTTTCCGATTCCAGAGTCTGTGCAGACTCTGGAAGACTGGAAGAGACATTGACAATGTCTATATCAAGTGCTGTGTCATCAGACACACGGAAGTGGCAATATCCTGCATAGATCACCTCCTAATAATGTAACCTCGTGCCAGTACCTCACCAGGCCAGGATACCTGTGCCCATCACAGAGTGATGCTCAGCAAACTAACTCACACTGTTCCCGTCACATGACACTCAGTTTCTGCATCTCTTTTGGTGTTTGGTTGGACTGATAGCACTGTTCCCAGGTCTGTTAGGATGCAGGCAGCTACTTATCTACCAGCCCCTGTAGAAGACTGCCCACCTGAGCTGTCATTAACCATTCCCCAGCTGTGCTGGCCTCAGTGTCCAAACTTCCTACCATATCTGCAACGCAACCCTCCCAACTTAACCTGCTTTCTCTCTCAAAAGCACCATCTCAATATGTGTGGTTGTCTTTCTCTTAAATTCCCTTTTTCTCCCACTCACAAAGCACTCCCTACACTTTAGCCTGTGCTAACCTAAGTGACATCATTGAGAAGGGGCACATATTCAATTAATGGCTTTTTCCAGGTAGCTGGAGCTATGTAGAAAATCAAATTACTCATTTTGAATGAGACACTTTAAAAGATGTAGGACTTGTATTTCCTTGTCTAGTGGCTCAGGGGTATCTCTATGAAGAATAGGTTTTGCTGCCTATGTCCTGGGTGATGGGAGGTGGGCAGGGGTCCTGAGAAGTCCAGGCTTGCCTGGGTGGTCCTTTCCCAAGTCCTGCCCAGGATGTGGAAGGTAGGCAGTAGTAGCTTTCCTCCCTCCATCCCTTACTGGGATACCAGAAGGTGGCTTCTCACACCTTGCACAGAATAGCTCACTTCTGCTCTTCCAGTCCCTAGATCTGTAACTCAGCAAGAAGTAAA